TGTATAATTCATACATCAGTTGTGATGATAGTCTGTGCCATAAGTGGTAATAAAAATGTATTAAATTAATAAATGTTGAAATCAAGTCAATAAAATTCAATAATTTGATTCATTCAACTACTAAATTCATTCATTCGTATGTATTTTGAACGATTATATATATTTTTAACCGCGATTTCTGAGGGAAAAAAATCGCGGTATATAGAATCACTCCGCCTACCTCCCCCCTCCCTCACCCAATCATTAATGGCGCTAATGACGGTCAAATTGCAAATCCCATAGACTTAACATGGGTTTTTTGGTCATAAAAAGCAATATGCACTTTGTTTTTCGTATGGAAAATCCCAGCAAAAGTGGGCAAAAGTGTTTCCGATGATGTAATGACGCTGTGTTTTTAGCCCCATGCTAAACCTATGAGAAAGTGGTGTATAATGATGGTGCATGACATCTGTGTCAAATAATATCGGTACCGGAACCAAAATCCCATGTTTTATTTAAGTTGCAATTGCATAATTTTGAGGTTGTCAAAAGTTATCAGTTAATTACAAATCTTGTTAATCTTAATCATAATCACTAAACAACTTAACATTTAAAAATTGTGAAGTATCCAAATTGCACACAATTTAGTCAAAATATAGTACTTTAACTACTAAACCACATAGCTAATTTACTTATGTAGATATAAATTTGCGAGTTAGAAAGTTGGTCCAATTGCAAAAAGACATGCACTTAATGTTTGCAAGATTTAAATCTATTGTGTAATATATATTTACTGTATAGATTTTAAATTGTCAAAAGGGTAATTGGTTCTAGGGAAAAATGTTATGTCAGTATGAAATGTATACTGTATAAGACTATATAATATATATAAGGTATATTAATACAAGAATTTTAAACTTTAAAACTATAGAATATGAATGAAATAAAAATAAAATTGCTCATTTTGTAAGTTTTTAATGTATTCATATAAAGACTCGCAATGAATACCAATTTGAATATATTATAATTTATAAATCTAAAATAAAAATTTGAAAAACTATGGTTATTATCAAACATACATTATAAAATAACAATGGTAAATTTATCAGAATTTTGAACCGAGGTTCAATAAGTTTTTATCAACTTGACAGTAGTCTAAAATAGTGAACGATACGTTTACAGTAAGTCCACAAATGATGCATAAATATCTCGACAATTGAATGCATACAAAACATGGACTCCACCAGAAAAGGGGACCAAATATGGGCACGTTTTTGATACTATTGTTGATACAAATATTGCATTCATTTGTTTTCATATGACGTGAATACAAATGTTTGAATGAATTGTGGATCAAGTGATGTTAATGAGTGAAACGGATTTCCAGACCTTTTACTCGGAGGTGAAGCACTTGGAAAGGGAGGACTCGGTGTACACATCGGACAAACAGCTGAGTCGACTGCTGAGGCCGGGCTCGACCTACGCTAACCTCAACCCATTTGAAGTGCTTCTGTGCGACCCGGAGGACACTTTGGAGGCGATCCGGAAGCAGTACAAGAAGCTGTCGATTCTCTTACATCCCGACAAGAATCCGGACGACAGGGATAGGGCGCAGACGGCCTTCGATGTTATCAATAAGGCCTACAAGTGCTTGGAGTCGGAACAGAGTCGGGCGAAGGCTCTGGAAGTGGTGGAAGAGGCCAAGTTTAGGGTCGACCGCATGATCGACGAGAAGCGCAAGAAGTTGAAGCGCGAGAAGAGGGATGAGGCGGTCGAGGAGGACGACCCCATCCGATACAAGCACTCCGTCAAAGTGATGACAATGAAGTTGTTCGCAGACTATGAGCGCAAACGACGGTCTCTCGACGAGAGGGCACAGGAGGAGAGGAAACGGAAGCGCGAGGAGGAGATCGAGCAGGAAGAGGCCAAACAGGACGATAAGGTTTGGTCCAAGAATTTCGAAGAGAGTCGACAGAATCGGGTCAATAGCTGGCAGTCGTTCTCCAAAAGCAGTAAATCTAAGCGCAAAGACATCCGTCCGCCCAAACATAAAGCAGAGACCCGTTAGCACGCAATCCCTTTCCCGCACCCATACCAGTAGTTTAGTTCAACAAACCGTTTTGTCACACAATTACATTCAACTTATATTGAATTCTTGCGGAATTTATTCTTTCATTATATATTCCTTTCAATCATTTGCTCATTTGATACATTAATCATTTGTAATGTTTTGTTATTCATTATGCCAATCATAATATATGTAAATATTAATTTAATTGTCCTTTAAATGGTTGCAAATTGCATTCAACTGACATTTTTGAAATTAAAATCAATGATTACATTCATGATCTGAGGACTCAATATGAAAATAATCAAACCAACAGAATTGATTGTGTAAAGAATTTTGTAAACTTATTAGCCGTATAATATGACACTGTATTGGTCACCAATAAGACCATAATTTAAGTGCCAAACTTTATCTAATATTACCGTAGTTAGAATACAGTATGTTTTTGCATACATTCAATTACCATAATTTAATGACTGTAATTTCAAGATTAATTTTACCGGTATATCGTAACTTTTTAAAAAGATATTATAACCCAGGTATTGTGAATGGAATCCACATTGATCGTAATTGTCAAAGATTTTTTCTTGTCTAACATCAGGTACTGTAGAACTTGAATAATATTTAGTCAAATTAAACTTCCAGTGAATTAGAAGTGAAAAAGCGCCGAGAGTTTGGTAATATACTAAATAATTGGTGTAAGAGTTGTACACTAGCGAGCGTGGAGTAGGGAATAGTGAGTGTTAGGGTCATTTTATATTATAGCATTTGTTTGGTGCATGTATTCTGTATTATCAGATGAAGTGTAAGCCATAAAATTGAAAGCAAACACTATTAGCAACACCTGAGGGACGGACGAGGGTATGGCGCGGCCAATGATATTGTAGACTAAATAAAATGATATTGCGATGATGTATGGGATAGGGATAAGAGCACAGGAGCTGTGCACAGGCAGACCGGTCTTGTGTTGAGGTATGCCTTACCTGAGAATCCGATCAACAGGTGGTTGATTGACCCTCGAGTCTCAGCCATAGTAAAGGTATAGAGCCATTAATGGTGTAAATATATTTGTCTGGCTCTCGATTTTGTCAAAATATGACTTTAAATGTAATTTTCTTACAAACTTTTCATTAGTTTTACAATTGTTTTAATTGTGTGTAAATGTAGTTATTATAGTTAATATAGTTATTATAGTTATTATACAACTTGTTATTATACCAACAGTTCAACTGTTTTGTTATATAAGTTATGCACCAATTGTTTGTTGAAGTTTTAGCCAAAAGAGATTTGTCTAAAGCGGGGGATCTCTTCTCCATCGATGACAAGAGTATTGTCGCCGACCTCTCAGAGCTCATACATCACATCCAGAAGATCAGTAGTGCCGACAGTTTCCTCGACAAACACAACGACCAAAGTGTGGTCGAGATCTGCTTGACTCGAATCACAAGTGCCATTCGGTATGATATCCTCACATCCCATCCCATCCCATCCACCCGTTCACCAACTTTATTATTCTTCCACTTTATGTCATCTCTTCATTCATTTCGTATACTTTTATTGATATGTATTTTCAGAGACACCGGAACTATCGAAGAACACGCCGGAGCACTGGTAGCTCTACTCGAGTCATGTCTGTTGCACGACTTGAAGCCGTCAAACAAGGACGAGGACCCGCCTCACGCCAAGATTGCCAGCGATGTGGTCTCCTGTATATTCCTGGTCTGTCTGTCCTGTACTGTCACTCGAGTCCACTCTATAACTCATTCTTTACCCTCAAATCTATTCTCAGAATCACAGCAAGAAGTCAGTGATGAGACTATCGGTTCCCATTGCTGTCAAACTTCTTCACAGAGGCAACAAAGAGTTGAGTCGAAATCTCTCCAGTTATCTCTCATTAGCCGCCATTAATAACGCAGACATCCTCTCGCCTCATATCCAACCGATTATTGATTCCATAATCGGTGGTAACTATTCATTGGCGAGAGTATTGCCTAAGATTTATGCCGTGAATAAGGAACCGATTCACGACCATATCATGGCATTGTTGTGTCTGTTACCACAATGTGATACCCCAGAGAAGTTATCTCTTCTTAATTTATTTACTCTCATCTCAAAGAACAAGCCATCAATTCTGGAGTCAAATTTACCACAATTTAGTGATTGTCTCACTCAATCTCAAACGGCTTATCCAACGTTACAGATATTCTTGAATATGGCACAAACCAATCCCAAGCCTTTCCTAGAATATGTCCATAAAGTGGTGTCCGCTTCAGAACTACAGACAGGAATGCTTTCAATCGCCGCACAATTCCTCGGATTAGTCGGAAAACTAAACCCAAACAAAGGCCGCGATTGCCTTAAGTTCTTAACCAATCAGTTGTCGAAATCAGATCTCTCGACAATGATTACTCTCTTGAGGGAAATCAAGTCAATCGTAGAAGTCTTTCCAACACTTTTGCCATCATTTTTGCCACAAATAGTCTCCCAGACAGAGAACTCGACGTCATCGACAGTACAGTCATATTTGCAACAAATCAGTTCAATAAACAATACCAACAATAGCAGCAATTCTAACGCTATAACCATAGTTCGAGTCAATTGTGATAACCCTTCAAACGGTATTAACGGCCAATTGAATAGCACCGGCAGTAATGCCCATTCATATTCAACTCAAACCAATAATAATAACAATAGTAAGAAGATCTCTTCGTTCAACGATTGCATTCTTCCGTCTCCTCTAAAGAGTATCGGAAGCAATAGATTGGGAACAAGTAATATACATGTCATTCACAGAAGTATTCCTCGACTTCATATAGTTAGTGGCGGTCATATAATCGGACGAAACTCTTCATCCAACGTTCACAGAAGTCTGACGGCTCTAATGATGGCCAACCCGTCCACGAGTAGACATCATATGAATCGGATGTCCATTGAGAGCGTCAACGCAACCACACCAACGAGTTCTCAGAAGAGCGCTTCCAGTAGTTATTTAACGGCATTGCATGAGAGGGAGTTGGCGGCCAAGTCTTCCAAAGCTGTGGCCACTTCTGCCGACTCACAGCTTCAGTCACACGTTCAGAACGTCACCTCTTCGTCCTCCTCTTCATCTCACTATAATCTAAAACTTTCCAAAAGTGAAATCATTTCCAACAGTAATATTAAAATAAGAGATAAGTCGACCAATGCTACCATTGGGTCACAAATGGGTCAACAGAATCGGGTGTCAGTCTTCGAGCCGTATCCGATGCGCGATGCCGTCCAACACTTCTGTGAGAAACATATCGACAAAATTAAGGCATATATGCAAAAGATTTTCGTCAAAATTCCACTTCCGGTTAAGTGTACGATAGAAGAGAGAAAAGCCAAAAAAGTTGCAAAACTCCACTTTGTGTGTCAGGGAAAGGGAGAGCACTGTCTCTATTCCAAGACATATTTCATAATGAAGACCAGAAATGCCCGCATTTGGATACATCTCATGTTTCTGGCCCTTCAGGCCAAAGCCACGTCCGCCCTCTGCACTCGCGAAACATCTGTGAACGCACTTAAGAACTGTTGGGACATTCTTAAGGCAGACAACAAGACATTCCTCACTTTAGTCACCTCTTCCTTCCCATCGGCTAAAGACCAGGACTTACTGAATGCTGAACTCCGGTCTAAACGCTATTTTGATGTCTTTGAATTCAACGCTATTGTACAGATTTGGGGCTGTTTTCTATGCAATCATCCGGAAAGGGCTAACGGCTTCCTCAAGAGTAACGAACCTGTGATTGAGGGACAGTTGAAGGAGAAAAAGGGCAAATGGAAACTCTTCAGGAGATGGAGGACCAGATATTTCACTCTTTCGGGAATTCAGTTGTCTTATAGAGAAGGAGTGAGTAATTATTTGATTACATTTGTCTCATATAAGGAACAACACGTTTGATCTGACTTTTATGCAAAAGAATTTATAGATATCTTTTCGATAGTATTCAAAGACTTCAAATAAAAAGAATTATTCAAAACTTTTCAATGAGAAAATATTTTTGCAAAAAATTAATTAACATTTAAAAATATTTTTTATTAGTAAAACCGTTTGCTAGATTTATCAGATTTGGCATCACTCTCTTAAAGGTTTTATTTTTTCAATTCACAAATGTTGTACTGTAGTACTAATTCTATAGCTTTAAGTCATTATTAAATTTAAAAATGAATAGAATTTAAATTAGCATTATTTTTATAGTTCTTAACATTTAGTTGAAACTTTATGTAAATGTTTTAAATTACCTAAATCAAAACTGAAATATGTGAAAATATTATATTACTGATATTACAATAATTATTTATTATTTAAATTTTATGACTAAAATAATTAAATATTGAGTCATATGAAAAAATAATTTAGTTTTGTTTATTTCATAATCACATAACAAAAACATAAGCTTTTTAAAAATACAGATATAACAGTACTGTAAATGCATTAATTAAAATACTGTAATTGCGGCTAAAACATTAATGATACAAATATTAATGATTATGATATATATTGTTTTTATAACCATGCACATTCTTATACATTTGATTGATTTGAGAGTAAAACAAGCATTCTGTACCAGTATTATATGGAATAATGCATTCAATTTGTGAACATTTAAGAAAATCTAATTTAATAAATGAATTCTTATGTAATATCTGATAGAATGGTGAAAAAGATGGAGAACCGGTGGAAATCGGACAAATTCAAAGTGTCAGAGCGATTGGTAGTTCCAGAGGTCGGACTATTCCTAAAGCATTTGAAATCTTCACTAATGAGAAGACTTATGTATTAAAAGCCAAAAACAGCTTAAATAACGAACAATGGGTTCAGTGTCTGTCTATAGCTATGGCTCACTCGCAGGCAAAAGAAGGTAATTAAATGTTATTTTTGAGTTTGCATAGCAATTATTATTTAATAATTATTTATAATTAATTCAAATACACGTTCTCTTATGATAGCCAACCCTAAGGTAATGGTCTTCTCAATAATCTAACTATAAGTCTATCACTAATTCTAATGTTTGCTCATATCTTTTACAAGAACTGAAAAATCAAAAGTAATTTATATAATATTTTGTATCATTTAAAAATTGCTTCATTTTAATCATATGATTATTTATTGTATAATTGGATGTTCAACACAACAAACACTGCTATCAAACAAATTGTATGAAAATTATTGTACATTCTTCATTAGAGATATATATTTGTATTAAACATGAATTCATATAAAATATATTTATATATAATTTAAAAATAAAAAACAGTATCAAAACAAAACACTTATTAAGAGATGATTTGATGGTATTTATGGAAACCGTCGACAAAATACTCGTCCGATTGCGAGTCCAGCAAAGAAAGTGTCCAACTCTTCGGCAATACATTGTCTGAAAGCAATGGTTTGCATGTATTGGCAGTCATGTCGTGATTATTGATAATGCGATCATTTATTTTGGACATAAGAAGTGTTTGTCTCTGTGTTGGGTCTATGGATGACAACTCGTATTTGCTTTTATCACTCACGAGGTTGCGGTTCATTGACAGCTTAAGAGGCTTTCCGGCCTCGAAGTTAATCACATAATTATCACTTAATTTGTTGGACTTCTTGTTAGTCTTTGATTGGTATCTTCTACTGCGATGTGAATCCACTGAGTGTTCAATCTTTGGACATTTGCTCAGCAGTTGGATCACTCGCTTCGGATCAATAGATCTCTTGTTTGCGCACATTTTGATGTGATTTATGGACTTCGGGCCCAAACAATGACAAACAGGACATGAAGAGTAGTACTGAAGTCTCTTCTCAGTTGTCCTGTCATTACAATCAACGCTCTTCTCTGGTGTCATCTGCTTCTGTGGTGATCGACAGGTGTTGGCGCCGATCGACTCATCGGTGGTCTCATCGGTGGTCTCCTCATGAGTGGTCTGATCGACACGTCTTTGACGGTTGTAAACAGCGATCGGCAGTAAGTCGTCGTCTGAAGAGAGCGAGTGATCACTGAAAGTGAAGCTCAACTCCACGTCTTTGAGATTGTGGTCTCCTCATGAGTGGTCTGATCGACACGTCTTTGACGGTTGTAAACAGCGATCGGCAGTAAGTCGTCGTCTGAAGAGAGCGAGTGATCACTGAAAGTGAAGCTTAACTCCACGTCTTTGAGATGTCTTTGCGATCCAAACAATATCTCTTCCATTGAGTCCACACTTCACTAATCCATCACTTGATCCACAATTCATTCAAACATTTGTATTCACGTCATATGAAAACAAATGAATGCAATATTTGTATCAACAATAGTATCAAAAACGTGCCCATATTTGGTCCCCTTTTCTGGTGGAGTCAATGTGTTGTATGCATTCAATTGTCGAGATATTTATGCATAATTTGTGGACTTACTGTAAACGTATCACTATTTTAGACTATCTGTAAAGTACTGTAAAGTTGATACAAACTTATTGAACCTCGGTTCAAAATCTGATAAATTTACCATTGTTATTTTATAGCGCTGTATGTTTGATAATAACCATAGTTTTTCAAATTTTTATTTTAGATTTATAAATTATAATATATTCAAATTGGTATTCATTGCGAGTCTTTATATGAATACATTAAAAACTTACGAAATGAGCAATTTTATTTTTATTTCACTCATATTCTATAATTTTAAAGTTTAAAATTCTTGTATTAATATACCTTATATATATTATATAGTCTTATACAGTATACATTTTCATACTGACATAACATTTTTTCCTAGAACCAATTACCCTTTTGACAATTTAAAATCTATACAGTAAATATATATTACACAATAGATTTAAATCTTGTAAACATTAAGTGCATGTCTTTTTGCAATTGGACCAACTTTCTAACTCGCAAATTTATATCTACTTAAGTAAATTAGCTATGTGGTTTAGTAGTTAAAGTACTATATTTTGACTAAATTGTGTGGAATTTGGATACTTCACAATTTTTAAATGTTAAGTTGTTTAGTGATTATGATTAAGATTAAGCAAGATTTGTAATTAACTGATAACTTTTGACAACCTCAAAATTATGCAATTGCAACTTAAATAAAACATGGGATTTTGGTTCCGGTACCGACATTATTTGACACAGATGTCATGCACCATCATTATACACCACTTTCTCATAGGTTTAGCATGGGGCTGAAAACACAGCGTCATTACATGATCGGAAACACTTTTGCCCACTTTTGCTGGGATTTTCCATACGAAAAACAAAGTGCATATTGCTTTTTATGACCAAAAAACCCATGTTAAGTCTATGGGATTTTTTTCCCTCAGAAATCGCGGTTAAAAATATATATAATCGTTCAAAATACATACGAATGAATCAATTTAGTAGTTGAATGAATCAAATTATTGAATTTTATTGACTTGATTTCAACATTTATTAATTTAATACATTTTTATTACCACTTATGGCACAGACTATCATCACAACTGATGTATGAATTATACAAATGATTGTTTTGTTGATGGAATGACTATACAAACGATTCAATTACACTATAATAGACTGTTTCAAACAAACAATTATTATATTATATTTAAAATTAGACAACATTAGAGAATATTTTCATTTAACACTAATTTTCATGTCTAACATAATATTGCTGTCAATCAAAATAGATATTATATATTGCTATATATCTCTAAAATATGTCAAATGCTATACAAAATAATATTTCCATTCAATCACTTCATTGATAAGCCTTTTGCCTGAAAGCGGCGGCAATTTCTTCGACAGTCTTTCCTTTAGTTTCGGGAACTTTCTTATAGACAAAGAGCCAAAACATTGCCAACAGAATCGAGAATATGACGAATACATAGCCTTCCATTTTTTCCTAATTTCAATATAAATACATTTGATTTTCCATGAAATATGACTATAAAACAAATGAATGGTTCAAACCTGAAGGGGTAAGAAGACGAGACCGACTATAAAGTTTGCCGTCCAGTTCACCGACACTGCAATACTTGTTGCTAAGGCCCGGGCGCCCACACCAAAGAGCTCGGCCACGAGGAACCAGGGGATAGATCCGGGACCCGATGCAAACATCACCACAAACATATAAACCGCTAAAATGCTCACATAACTAAACACCTCAGACCTATCCTTAAGGGCTAAACAGAAGGTCAATACGATAGTCGTGACAAACATCCCGGCCAATCCCGTCAACAACAGAGTCTTTCGACCAGACTTTTCCACTAATATCAACGACACGATTGTCATCAACACATTGATCACTCCAATACCCAAAGTGGCGTAAAGTGCGGCCGATTTGGTCAGACCCGCCTTTTCAAAGATGTCGGTCGAGAAGAATATGACGGCATTTATTCCAGAGAACTGTTGGCTCAGCATAACCACGAGGGATATGATGAGCGGTTGTCTCAGCATTGAGTTATACCAGAGCTCATGGAGCGTCACTTTGGGAACCAGTTTCATGGACTCATACTCAGCTCTCATGTCATCCATTTCGTCGTGTACTTCGATTGTGCCCCTCAGCCAAGTCAGTGCTAATACACAGACAATACATCATTATAATGGTTCACTAATAGCTATAATATATGATTTCTGTTTAATAGCAAACCTCTCTGTGCGGACACATCTTTTCCTTGAAATATAAGAATATATTTCGGTGATTCTGGACATAATGGCAGAGTTGCCAACATAAATATGGCCGGGATTCAACAACAGAGTCTTTCGACCAGACTTTTCCACTAATATCAACGACACGATTGTCATCAACACATTGATCACTCCAATACCCAAAGTGGCGTAAAGTGCGGCCGATTTGGTCAGACCCGCCTTTTCGAAGATGTCGGTCGAGAAGAATATGACGGCATTTATTCCAGAGAACTGTTGGCTCAGCATAACCACGAGGGATATGATGAGCGGTTGTCTCAGCATTGAGTTATACCAGAGCTCATGGAGTGTCACTTTGGGAACCAGTTTCATGGACTCGTACTCAGCTCTCATGTCATCCATTTCGTCGTGTACTTCGATTGTGCCCCTCAGCCAAGTCAGTGCTAATACACAGACAATACATCATTATAATGGTTCACTAATAGCTATAATATATGATATATTATATAATTATATATATATATATATTGTATATTATATAATATATAATATATGATTTCTGTTTAATAGCAAACCTCTCTGTGCGGACACATCTTTTCCTTGAAATATAAGAATATATTTCGGTGATTCTGGACATAATGGCAGAGTTGCCAACATAAATATGGCCGGGATTATTGTTGCCGCTATAGTCCAATGTATGAAATGTACTCATAAGTTAAATAATTTATTTAAAATTATTAATAATCTGAATATACCAAAAAGTATTGGCCATTTGTCTTCAGTGCCCAATATCTGAGGCAAACCCAAAAGTAAACTGCATTCCTATCTCTACCAATATTGGTTAACTATATATCAAGGCTACCGTGGGGAGTCTACACAGCCACTATAAAGGCAGTTTATGTAACCGCGGTTTGGGCGCAAGTCTGGAAATTATATATTATAATATTTAAAATTTAATTAGAATATGACCGACCAAGTTGAATTATTAAATGTATAAGATCTTATAAGAAACAACAGTGAACAAATCATGATTACCGTTATATTAATATTAAGAACATTATGTACCATAAGAGAACATATAAGATAACTATAAGAGTAATTAGATTAAATTTAATTATTTGATTTAGACTTAAATGGTATTAACTATTTGTTTTATATTATTCCATGTTACACTAAATTATCAAAATTACAACGAAAATTTAAAAATACTAATTAAACCATAGATTATAAGTTATTTAAATGTTTTGATGACATTTTATGATATGGATTTTATCTTTAAGTATTTCACTAAAATAACTATATTAATACTAATGTAAAACTAATGCAAAAACAATTGTCAGTAAAGACCCTGAAATGAAGCCAACATTCATTTGACATCATTTGGAATAAAAGTCAATATTTAAAGCATAACTACAGTACAAATGATGACAAATTCTATATTAAGTGTCATTATATTTACTATATATGCAAACCTGCATTAAATCCAATGAAGAATCGGCCCATTATTAGCATCTCATAGGAACGGCACATCTTCGAGAAGCCCATGAGTCCGGCCGCCAGAAACACAAATACATTGTTCCACAGAAGACCACCTTTTCTGCCAAACTTTTCTGCGACATAACTGGTGAGGAGGGCGCCAATCATTCCTCCGATGCAGAAGATTGAGACCATAATAGAGTAGATGAGGTTAACGGTCGTCGCATCACTACCCGTGCCATCGCTTGCACTCGAATTCGAGGTAATATTCCAACTCAAGTCGTGAAACCTCTCGGAGTGGGCTTCAGATATGAACTTTTGGACCAAATCTTGGGGTGCGTTCACAACACCGGTATTATATCCGTGTTGGAAGGATGAACCCAATGCCGCCGCAGATATGGCAAACACTAAGTGACTGTTTAGTCCCTGAAATTAAACCATATTTTTATTGTTTTAGAAACTAAAATGAAAAATTAAATTCATTTGAATAATTGATGGTTAAGAATATTTATATAAATAAAGTGTGCTTTGTAAAAGTTATGCATTCAGTTGAATTGACAATAAGATACAAATATATTATTATTTTTATTATATTGGATTCCTAATGTTCTTAATGTAAATGACTAAAAGTGGTGATGAAAAACAAGAATTGATGGCATCATTCTTGAAGACATTGAAAGAATTTGTGTAGACATACAGAATATGAGGGAAAGTTACTAAAGGGAGGTTTGACTCTCACACACATTATTCTAACCAATAGAAAGGATTGAATGTGAGGAGTGTCTGCCTGTCTCAAGTACCGGTACTTTAATGCACAGTATCCATGTCGATTTATAGCTAAAAACTTTAAGACACGACGTTTATTACACGTTAGCTAGCTATATACTTAATATGACGTTTCTCATCTTATCGTCTGTTTTGTATCATTTATCTTATATTACAAAGAGATGTCTTATAATAATAAAAATATTAAATATATATATAAACTAATGCATTCATTTCAAACTTACAGATCTTCTAATATGTGGCATTTTACTGTTATAATAAAAGACCCAGTAGCACTTATTCAGTTATTCACTTAATGGTAAATCACATATAATTTAGTTAGTATTATTGTCCAGTTTGTTAGTGGACCGAATTTGATTATTGGTTAAATGACAACTTTGCTTTGATCAATAAAATTTAAAACTAAAAACTAAAAAACAACTATAATATCGTAGAAAATAATTTCTAATGATGACTAGTCTTTTAAATTATTTAAATGCCGGTAAATTAAATTAGCGAGAGTACAGACAACACATTTAAAGAGACAACTAGAATATAGATTAGAAAACTTCACACAATTTCCTGATCAGTATTTTCATATTTTTTAATTGTCTAAAAATACACAGTTTTGCAGAAAATTTCAAAATCAAATCAAATTTGTCGGTTGTGTTGAGTGGAGAGCCGGAATCACTTGTGATAACAATTGGGAACCAAACCAACAAATACTATGGAGTTCTTTGACGCCGGAGAGGACGTCACATACACTCACGCATGACATGAAAATTTCAGAAAATTTTGCCATCACTTCATAATAATATTATTGATTGGATATAAAAATAATATTTATTGAAGTTTGTTTTTAATGTAATATTATACTAATGATTAAATGAAGCATAAGTTCCTACTAAACACTTGTACAATATAACATTTGCATTATACTGGTTATGTGCATTATGGCAATGACCAAGCTCAGCTGCTATTAGCTTTTACTGCAGATAACAGATATTTAACAGTAAATTATTTAGAACCCTGTTCTAAATATTCTTAATTTATGATTGTTTTAAAATTAAATGCTCAAGCTACTGTATATGCTCCAGGTTATAAAAGGCAGAATTATCTGTGTCATCCCTGTGGCAATGGATGTGTAAAATGCAATTCATTGTTTGCCAAATTCACAATTACTTGCTACTAATTAATATTATATAATATACTGTTCACCAAATTTATTGTATTCTTATTGAGAATTTATTACAAAATTAAAACAAAATATAAATAATTTTTATCTAATAATTGTTAGATTGAATTAATTATACACTACTGGTATATATGATCTACTGATACAGTATATGGTTATAATAATACCATGAATTCTAGCCTTCAATCTATAAACTCTGGCATGAAATCGTCAAATTAAAAATAGTGAACACATGGTATTGAGTAGAATAGAGGCCAATCTAATACATTAATGGTATAAAAGTGAAGTATATTACTGTTACGCTAATTAAAATTATTGCTATTTCATATAAAAGATATTAAATAATTATTTAATTGAATAAAACTATATACTGTATTAAATCGATAAATTTGTAAACAACTATTTTGTCAACATTACTGTTATTTTTCACCAAAAATATGATGAAATAAATTTCCAAAATTTCTAGTAAACTTTTAATAAAGTTGAACAAAATATTATCTAATTATCTAAAACTTAAAAATTTATACCTTATGAAAGCACATCAAAATATTTAAATAAAATATTTTTACAAAACTAGTGTCATTCAAATACTAATTAAATATTCATCACAACAAATGATAAAAAAATAAAAATTTATTAAATTTATAATATTAAATATCCATATCATAGTTTCAATCTTACAATCACCTTACAATATTACAAAATAAATTCATTAAGCATGCAAAAAAGTCCTATCATGCAAAAATACAAAAATAAAATCTATTAAATTAATCTACTTGGTTGAGGACTCAATTTTAAAAAATGTAAACAAAACTATTAGTTCAAGATTAAGAATAATACAAAGAAAAATTAAGTTAAAAGTCTATTGAACATATACAGTACAACAAAATGCCATTATTATTAATAGAAGTTATAAATAAAAGTGAACACTGTTTGCTCTTTTCGCAATATTCAGATTTTAATAAACAATTCCTAAATTAATACGTGAAAGCATACTTAAAATATAAACATAAAATAAAATATATAAAATAACATAATCTAAAGTTCAGATTCTAAACTCATTCTAGATTCTAGATTCTATGCTTAGAGACAACTTTTTAATTATAAAATTTAAGTGCAATGAAAACATCAACAGAGCGACAATTTTTTTTAATAACACACACAGAATGTCAAACCACAGAGTAATGTGACGTTTACGTACCCTTAAAGAGGACTTTCTCTCATTATTACAATACATTTGACGGAATTAATTATAAAATTGAAAATATTAGAGAGAAAAAAGTTGTATAAAACTTTTTATATCCGGTAAAATATACAACAAATTAAAACTCTTCCTTAAAATGCACTACAAGTAAGAGGAAGTTAAAAAGATTAATACAAAAACTGTCAAAATAATGCATTCAATAAATGAGAATTGAATAATATTTGGCTCTATAAGTACCAGAATTATGTTTATATATGAAAGACATAAAAGGAATATTCTTCGCAATAAGTGGTGAATATTGCAACAACTGATGTAATGCCGGTGCAAATGGTATTTGACGTAATTCTGTTAGTTATTACTCACCGCCGATTCATCCCTTCTTTGTCCTAAATTCATGGGTAGAGTTGAGAGATCGGTGGCTGAAGAGGCCATAGAGTCGGCTGGAGAGGGGCTCTTATCCCGGTCCCGATCGGGAATATTAAGATAAGCCATTTCTGATAGTCTCAAGTCATCCATTATAAGCCTTTTTTGGTGGATTTAATCGATCTTTCGAAGTAATGTTAAGTGTTATTAAAATATTATTTTTAGAAGCAATAGCTATAGTGCAGTGAATAACGATTGGATAACACTATCGAAAACAATGTTTGACTTCACATCCCTTTATAATAAGTCATACATTACTCAAAGTAAACATTTATTATCATTTTCTTAATTACAATTCTGGTGCTCAACAACTGTTCACTTCTTGAACTCCTGAGAAGCTATTCCCACAAAATAGTCATAAATTCTTTAAAAACAAAACATAAGAACAAGACTTTTGAGAGAAGAAGTGAACAGATCATAAGAATTGTGGAATTGTTTTGTAAAACTGGTGATTATTGTTTAAAGGGATGGTTAGACAACTCTTTGATAATAATGTAAACATGGGCTAAAATAGATGTACACTATTGGGAGATACTTGTGCTCCAAGCACTGCAATGTCGACCCAATGACTTTTAAAGAGCCCTTTCGATCGATGAGAACGCAAGCGCTTTATCAGTGTCTAAGGAGTCGAACTCCAAACGCCTTTCCATTCCGTTCCTCTCATCTCATGTGACAATTAGATGAGCCAAATGTGTGTTCACTAAAACACACTAAAAATAGAGATCACAAACATTTGGCACAACTCGACACACACACCGACACATCAAACATCTTTGTCTGTTGAAATTCATCAACAATTAAATGTCATTCAAAAACAAAACTTTTATTCAATCGCTTAAAATCTGAGAATAAAATCATTCAATAAATGCTTTGATATTTAAATTGAGTTTTTGTGCTAAGTTTTCAATGAAATCAAAATTGACTGAATTGGATATCTGATATTTGGTTACACTTGAGAGACAATTGCTTTTATTTGTGAATTGAGTTCTCAGAATGAGCTTCAAAGCAACCAATTCTTGCAATTCAGACAACAATTTATTGGACGAATCCTTCAGGTATTGGTCGTCGTTCTCGGCGTTCAGTTCAATGAGAGCCCTATAGATGTGGAGCAGGCGTTCAAATGTGGCCCCTTTTGGACCACTGAAGTCACGCTCTTCGGTGACAATCTTACGCTTCCTTTCCCTCCTCTTCTTCCCCTCGTATTTGACGAAAACTTTTTTGTCATTTTTCACTGAATTATAAGACGATAAATAAGACGATATTAACAGGTATTTCATGGAGTCGGGCCACACGTGTCTGTCGGCGCTCTTATTGACCACTTTTAATGAGATGTCTTCGATTATATCGACGAGAATCGGTTGAAATCGTTTGTATAGTTTGGCCGAATCGGTGGCACACATGTGGCCACTAGTGATGGGTTCGACATATTTGCAAAAGTAGGCCAAACATATGGACCGCATTTCACTTAAATTACTACTCATTTGGATTAAAGTCTTCACAATTATATTCACATAACTAGGAATCAAATCAAACAATCATAACATTAATTAACTATAAAATTATGGCTAAACTTGAGGTCAAAGATAAGCATAGAGGACAGGGAGGAATGGGAACTGATATGAATAAAGTTTGTAAAGTGACTTACTTTTGATAGAAGTGTTTGTCATAACCTTTTGGACAGTCTTTGGTGAGAATAGTAGACATCTCTTGAAGGCTATAGTTATCGAAATTGATTTGAATGGCAGAGACCGGGGATGAAGTGATCCGACAAAACCATTCACTCGACTGACAACTCATGAAAACACAACTAATGGGACAAACATTTTGCGTTAATTCTTGTATTTTAATCAAAGAAGTGATGATTTCGTTGTTGGATGTGTTGATTAAGTGATGGTTTGAATCCATTGAATCCAAGACTATAATACACTGACTGAAGACTGGTTTCGAAGATTGTTTAGTCTTAAGGTTAGCGTTAGCGACGAATTGATCCAAAATGGTCTTCAAGTGATCGATGAAATGAGACAAAGACTGACAATGGATTTGATTGGTTTGAAAGCAATTGATTTTGTCATTCAATTGAATCAAAATGTTTTCGTAAACCATTTTATTGGTGAAGAACTCCTTGCAGTCGATGTAAGCGTACAACGAATGGCTGGTCGCACACAATGTCTTCACCACCGATGTCTTGGCAGTGGATCTCAAGCCATAGACGATAATCGTTGGACACAATCGCAGCAAATATTCATATAATCGACTGATTTGTGTTTCGCGACACAAATACAGACCATTGAGATGCTCGACCAGATGTGCCATCGCTTCGGAGGTCGATGTCATGGGGTGTCATGTGTTGACTCGTTCACTGCACTGACAATGCATTCAATTGAAGCCAACTTTCCCTCCAAAGAAGACAAGAAGACATCATTGATGTGTCTATAGAGCCGTCACTGCCATCTGTCGTCACGTTTTGCACTCATTTTCAATGCATTTCTTTCAATCCATTCAACACTCACTTCGTCTGACCAGCGATTGTGTGACGGATTGTGGATCGGATTGAGTGACAATACAGTGGACCTAATCGTGGTGTGCGATGGCAATGATGACCTCTGGACCAATTGCTGAGCGCAATCAGGACGCAACCATTTATGTGGGCGGACTGGACGAGAAGGTGTCGGAAGCGACTCTTTGGGAGCTCTTCGTGCAATCGGGTCCAGTGGTGAACGTCCACATGCCTAAGGATAGGGTGACCGCTTCACACCAGGGCTACGGCTTCGTTGAGTTCATGTGCGAAGAGGACGCGGACTATGGCATCAAAATCATGAATATGATTAAACTCTACGGTAAACCCATTCGTGTGAACAAAGCATCCGCTCATCAGAAGAACTTAGACGTCGGCGCAAACATCTTCATCGGCAATCTGGACCCAGAGGTCGACGAGAAGCTCTTGTACGACACGTTCTCCGCCTTCGGAGTCATCCTCCAGACGCCCAAAATAATGAGAGATCCGGAGACCGGCAACTCCAAGGGGTATGCGTTCGTCAACTTCGCCTCATTTGACGCGTCGGACGCCGCTATCGAAGCCATGAACGGACAATACCTCTGCAACCGCGCCATCACTATATCCTATGCCTTCAAGAAGGACGCCAAAGGCGAGAGACACGGCTCGGCCGCCGAACGCCTGTTGGCCGCACAGAACCCGTTGGCTCAGGCGGACCGACCCCACCAGCTGTTTGCCGACGCGCCCCCCACTGCGGGCGGCGCCGCCACTGCCACCGCTCAGCCCATGGCACCGATGCTTATGCCGATGGCCCCGACGGCTGTGCCAACCAATCCTATGTCCATGTTTTACGGCTCACCCGACGATATGATGAACAATGCAATGATGAGCATCAATATGAATATGATGGGCTGGCAGTTGCCGCCACGACCTCAACCCCCACCACCCCCTCCCGCCTCATTTTTCCACCCGCCGCCCCCTCCGCCACAGTTCTCAGCAATGCCACCCCCTCCCCCTCCGTTTGCAAACATACCTCCACCACCTCCACCGCCCGCACAACCAGGAATGCCGCCTCAGTTTACAGCAGCGCCACCGCCACCCCCTCCTCCTCCTCCCCCGCCCCCACCGCCACCTCAACCATAAGATCATTCAATTGGTTAATCATTTATTTTATTTTATGACTAATTATTGTAATATTTAACGAATGAATAAATTGTGAATAAATTAAAATAAAACAATAACAGAATAACAGTAGACATTATTTGCTGTGAATTAACATTAAATCTATTTATATAACAATTAATAGGTTGTCAACCATTCGGTCACTTATATGTTTGACTCATTATTTGTATCATCAGTTTGAGGCACTTCTTCGCACTGAATGCCCGGAACTGATGTGTTGTGTTGTAATCTCCTGAACGACGGCTTATTTTCCAGAATTTTCTCAATTTCTTCAATTAGATTAGCTGTGAGTTTGGGTACAATCTGTGAGGCAAAAGACAATTTAAACAATATTAGCAACACTTGCAATGTTGCGAATGCAATTAAATAGACAGACTGTGAGTGCGTGAAGTTGTTGGTAGAGTTGGTCGACAGTTGTGGGGGCGATGAGCACACAATTGACGTTTTCATTCCTCAATGACCACGCTTTCAATTGCAACCAAAATAATTGATTAATTAGACAATTGTCGGGTGAATACATGGTAAGAGATGCATCAAACCTATGGTCAGTTGTGTCTGATCACAGCCCAGTTTATCTGCGATCATCGATAGCTCCAAATGTTTTGCATTTTGTGCCAACTTTTCCTCATAAGGAATGGTGCGGCGAGTGATCAGTTGTATGCCTTCGTCATAGTTTAGAGACATCGGTGACCACACTATACATCCGGTGCCGATTTTGTGGAACAGCTCAGGCATAAACAGTTCCATTTTGTCCCGACTGAACATATGGTACTCCATTTGCTCGCATACCGGCGCCGGACAATTGAATTGTCGCGCTATGGAGAAGGCTTCTGAGATGTGCATCGGAGCGAACCGAGACGTGCCTGAAGTCAAACAATCGGTTCAATCAATCGCTTGTTATTCTCATAATTATTGCCTCTTTTTAATTGAATTATAAAAACAATGCAACTCTTGTTTGTAATTTCAAAATAAAGTACTTAATGCTCTGAATAGTGAACAGTGATTGAGACAATAGTCTGTGGTCTGAGTTGACAACTAATAAAAGCTTAAAAACTAACCCCAATAGAAGATAATGCCATTGTTTATGAGGTGAGCCATTGTTCGGACCTATCGAGGATTCCGTTAACAACATATTGATAGCACTTTGGATGGAGGACTCACCAGCTCTTCCATAGGACACAAACCGTCCAATTTGTTGATAATCAATATATCGATATACTTGAGTTGCAATCGCTTAAGGGACGCCTCGACCGCTTCGATAATGAATTTGCGAGACAGACCTCCACTGTTGTGAGCGGTGGGGCCATTGTACCAGAACCTTTACCACAATCATTGTTGAATCAGGATCAGGATCAGAATCAGAATCGTTCGTTTAAAGAGTATAGTTAGTGAAGGCATACATACAGTTTGGTGGACACTATATATGAGCTGCGTTTCCAGTTTTTCTTCTTCAGAATATTTCCCAAAACTGTTTCACACTTTCCGTTCGCATATCCGTCTCCGGTATCAAAATAGTTGACTCCGTTTTCATACGCCAAAGTCAACAACTCTTCGGCCATCTGTTCATTAATTCTGTTTCCGAATGCATTCCACGCACTGAACCCCACATTAGGAACTCGGAGACCATTTTTACCCAAATTCCTGACAGAATTTGTTACAGAATCGTAAGAGAATCTCTATTTGATAAGTAAATGTACCTGTATTTCATGGCAATGAAACTGCTCGGGGCAAAATTGGCAAATATCTCGTAGTGGGGCGACGATGGGGTGGCACTGAATGCGGGAGAATTACAGCCTCCTATAGTCATATACGAGAAGTCATTGAGGGTATCCTTGTTGTCGAGGGTGTAGTTATTTCTGGTGTTCATCTCTTCGACCCAATCAATGATATTTGAATAAATGGTACAAATTATTGCAATTTAGAGAATTTATTTATTGAGAATTTCATTAGAAATGTTACTTAAAATTCATGTAAAATACATTTCATGTGAGATAACAGACATTCATTGGCATTAATGGCCAGAATTGGCCGACATTTGCGCAGTCAGTGCTTAGCTCTGCTTTGCTTTACTTTTCACAGGTTTTGTTTGGCGTTTGAAACGCTCTTCACATACAATACAATACAGTATTCAATACTATCTTATATTCAATTCCTGTCAGCTTTAAGCTTACAACGAGTTATAGACTTATTCTTATATCACTTCATTTTACATCATTTCTGAATTTGTTTGCATTTCATGATTTGAGACAAAAACAAGAAATACATCACAAGTTTTGTTAAGTGTTTCACTAAATATAGTCGATTATCGAATAATTAGTAATAATCTGATAGTAATCTTAATTACCACACCATTTGTCATAAAAGAGTAAAATTGTTTGAAACAGAAGACAAACGAAAAATAGGACCCGAGATATACATTTGTACAGAATATTATCGAAACAATTGTTGTTTCACATAGAGTTCAAGAGTTTAAAATCAATTGAGATTATTCTAGATTTGTTTCTCCTTATACTTAGTATTAATACTAGAGAATAGAGTTTAAAGTTTAAAGTTTAGTCTTATAGAGTATAAGCAAAACAATAAGATATAAAGCCATACAGTATTTCTAACGTATAATTATATAATCATAGAATATAATATAATAGTAATCATAAAAGTAATAATAATATCGTATATTATATAATGTTTAACATTATATTGAATGTAGTTTTGGTTCGAATCGTTCGAAACAATGTATTTGTATTTGTATTGAATGTGTTTCAAGAGATTATAAGTATTGTAATTGTATTCAATGTATTGACTCAGTCTATAGACAGCAAGAATTGATCGATAATTAAATTAAATAAATCGATAGAAAAAAGTGTTGCATTCGTATCATTAGCCCATTTGCCACAATCGAGAAATTCCTTATCACAGCTTAAGATTTGAATTCTTTAGAAACAGAAACTTTGGATTATATTATAATTACACTTAATTTTTGAATCCAATTCAAGACAATTGATATTAAAATTTAAATGAGTTTTGAATCAAATTTGAATGATTGACGATCTCATTGAACGAGGCATTCCTATTGATCTCATTGAGAGACCCCATCGAAGTGGACAGAGTTGTCGTGTTGTTCTGCGAGGCATTCGTTACGAAACTGTTGTTGAGGGACGCGATCGCATCCCTGTGCCGCTTCTCAGCCGCCGCACAGCTCAAGATTATCTGAGCCTCGAATTGATGCTTAGCATCGGTTCTCATCTGTTCCATGTGTGTCAACAATCCTATCATCCATTCACACGACAATCAGTTATCAATGAATCCAATATAGCTTTGCAATCATTGCTCACCGATTTCTGATGTGAAAACACTGGTGCAGACACTGCACGGCCACAGAGGGATCGAAGACGATGACGATGAGGATGAGGTGGGCGACGACAGGGCTTCCGGATGGCTCTCCAAATGGCGCCGATATGAACCTTCATTGAGATAAGATTTTCCACATATGGGACACGTATACGGAGATATCATTCGGTTCTCTCCTGTCACACAATTAGCCGTTAAAAACAATTCAAACAATTCTCCTCCAAATGCATTATTACTCGAAAATCTTTGAGATTCTATGAAACCATTGTGTTCTTTCTTAATATGATGAGAGATCTCATCATTACTCGGAAGAATGAGATGACATACAGGACACGATCCCACCCCTTCTGCCACAAGGTTTGAGTGCTTCTGAAAATCAACAATTTTAATGAAATTTAAACGCTAATTAATTGTAACTGTTTCATATCATAAATTTTATATATTTTCAAATATATTCCTATGATATCAATGTAAAAATTGCTTTTTATAAATTATCGACAAACTAGTCATTGAGACAATGAGATAATTGACGACATATTATGATAATATAAAGAACTTTTAAGCATTATCTAAATATACAGAATTAATTTAAAATTGTACTAATTTTAAATGTTTTTATAAGGAGTTCTACGGCAAATCAATTATTGTGATAGCAATTCAATTGGTGTGAATTTATTTGTTAACAATAAAATTGAACGGAGAATATAAACAATTTTATATACAAACTATATTTTAGACAAAGAAACAAGAATCATTTAAATTGCCATAATTTGTTTAAAATTAACAGCTTTACAAGATGTAAATTTTAAAATAAATAAAAGTTATTATAAAAATAGAAAAATTAAATATCGTTTTACTTTTCATTATAATGCGGCATTATTAATGCCATTATATGATGTCGTTTTTAATAAATGTTTTAAAATATTTGGGATAAAATTAGAAATATCTTTGAAATAATAAATAAAATATTATTTAATAAAAATGAGAATTTAAAATTTTTTAAAACAGGATTTTGAATAAATTAGTTATGTTTTGAGTCAATTTATAAGAAATAATTGAAAAATAGACAGTTATTAGCAATAAATATGAAATTATAGTAATACTAGAAATTAATAGATACAAAAAAGT